CTTTGCAGCAGGCAGGCAGGGGGAGTGTTGTTTATGAAATGAGTGCAGCTATAGCTTTCGATTCTGAAATGATGTTCAGATCTGAGATTTATTAAAATGAGGGTTTTTTTAATAACGTTGCTGACTGGATAAAGTCAGCTGTTAACTGATGGAATTAAACCTACTTTCAAGGTCATCACTACCACTAGACTGAGTTTCCTAGGTCAGGATTTGGCACTCGTATATTGTCTTTGGTGACTATGTTGTGACTAAGTAGGTGACCAGGAAGAAAGCCAAGCAGACACAATTTGCAAAACTGTGTATTGAAAAGTGGTGCAAAAATGTAAGGCTTAGCTGTAAAATCACAGTTATTTTTCCAGTGTGTTCCTATTGGTCCTCTATGTCTTATGGCCTAGGTTCATTCTGCTTGATCGAATGAAGCAAACCAAAATGCCTAGTTTAAATGGTTATTCTGGATTTGGGGCCAAGGTGCACTCTCCAGCTAGAGGAAGTGATTCAGATCTTTGCTTAGCAGAACTACCGTTCAAGTGCCTAGAGCTCCTGTGAACAGTCCCATAAAAAGTTACCCGATATGTGTCCCCAAACACTGATTTGCAGAAGAGGTGCATAAGATGCTCACACAAATCTTTATAGACTCCTTTGAATAGTGTTTTAATAGCTGCAGAGAACAGTAGATGTGAAAACCACCAGAAAGCTAATGATTCCTATATCTATCTTTTAGATTAGGAGTTCCACAGAAATAGCACAACCATAAGAAACTGAAGAGCTTAGGGAAGCAGGATGTTACTCCCCTACACTGACATCTGAATAAAAAGTAAACATAAAATACTCATTCTACAAATATGACATAGGAACTCATATTGAAGTGAGTAATCAGAGCCTCAGTTTTGAATCGTGTCAAGAAATGCCACCTTTAATATTGATACATGTAAATAATAGTAATAATATTCATAAATCAGATCAATTATTTTCCGATAGAATGTTTTTTTATGAAATAAGAGTATAGTTCAAGGAATCATATGACCTCAGAAACATTCTGAAGGGGCAATGGTAGAAGCAATCCATTCTGAATTAATTATTTAAGTGTAAGTGGTAAATAGTCAATGTTTATATTTGGTACAGTACTGAAGGAAAAAAAATATGCAAAAGGAATGGAACATTTTATCTTGATTCGAGATAGGTTGTATTTTGGCATTTTAGAATTTCCCCTCAGACAGATATTCCATATGAGATCCAAGTCTCCCAGCACTCAGGCTGTATGATTTATATGTACTTAATTAGCGGAGAATCCATGGAGATCAACTCAATTAGAAATACCACAGATGACAGAACATACACAACTTGAATCTCAGGAGAATTTGATCAATATTTAGGAATAATGTAGTGCTTTGCAAGCAATGAGATTAATTCTCCTCTGCAGCTCAACTCTGGCTTTTTAAAGCTCATTTCTGGGAGCTGGCAAGTGTGACACATGAATTGTCAAAAACCCTATGGTCTGAGGTATTAAAACTCATAACAACTGACATCTGTATACCCAGCTACTGAATCTGAGTAATAGAGCAATCTGTGAGTAGCAGTTTTCTGTGGTTGGTCCCTATCATGCTCAGTCCTCACAAAATTAATAATAAAGAATTATGTCAAGCCCATTATCAAGCCTCCTCAGACATTTTCAGTATTCTGAGTCCTAGCTAATTTTTCTATGCTAATTTTGCATTCTGACCTTTACATGAGTAGACAGGTGGGAAAATACATGTATCCTGTCATCTGCCTAATGACTTCCTAATCTGAATAGACTGATGTTGGCTGTGCCACCACAGATTTCCTTTTTTACACTGCACTAATCTTCATTTAGACAAGTTGTAGTGAGACTTCCTGACAGATGAAACAGGGAAATAGGGAATATTCTTTTTCTGCATATGTCCATAATGTGTTCTAAGAAACTATTAATCAGATTTTTTGAGGTAGTGGTTTCATTTGGACCCTCAAAGGACTTTTCTTCCGTGAATAGAACTGTTTGTTTCCTTTCAGAACCTGCAGCCTCCACAATGTCCTGTGCCTGTCAGTGCCACAATTTCATCAGGACATGTATGGAAAATGACTTATTTTTCTGCAGGTGGAGTTTAAAAATGTTACTTTGTCATTTTATCAAGTCACCACTAAATCCAGGGTTACAAGAAGTGTGGAGACAGTGTTCTCACAGGAGAATGGGTAATTGGTACATAAACTCTGAATAATCCTGAAAGATACAGCAAGGCCGTGAGAGGCCCAAAGAAGTTTAAGCAAGCAAGATAAGAAGAAGCTGTAATTCACTGAGTTAATGAGATCTGTGGACTGTTGGCAAGCTTTCAAGGTCAAGCTCTCACACCTGTGCTTAACCAATTATATGTTAGTCACTAAGGGTCTTCAAGACATGTATCCAATCATAATATGCCAAATCACTGTAAGTGCCTGTAAGAAATGGTATATGAGGAGTTAAAGCTTTGTAATAAATTGGCATTCACTGATCACATTGATCGTTCCTGCGTTGTCCGTGACTCCCGCATCGACAAAGAAGTAGTGAATTTTGCTAAGCACTTTTACCACAACATCTAAAACTCGTCATCTCTCTCCTTACTAGTCTCTTGCTAGCTAAAGTTACAATATGTTTAGCCTCTCTCTGTGTATAGAAGTTGTTGCCTGTTGCTGAAGATATTTATCACTTTTCTCCACAGCTTTTCTGATTCTTCAGTGGGTATCATTTTTGCAATGAGCAAACTGCAGCTGGTGTCAGAGTCAGGAACAGTGGCATAATGATGTTTTCTGGTTTGGGTTTGGTTACTTTCATTATAATTCCTAACATTTCATCTGCCTTTCTAACGGCTGCTTAGGTTTAAAATGACATTATTTAGAGGACCATGTACCAGGAGTCTAAGCTATTTTTTCAGAGATAATTCAGGCCATCATTTTGTATATGCAAAATTAGAGTTGTTTTTCTCTGTGTATATACACTGCTGGCATCAGCATTCAATTTCATCTGCCATTTTGCTGTCCAGTCACTCAGCATCATGCAAGCCTTCTGTTCATTGTCAGAGTTAAATTTGCATGCTGAGTCATTTTGATTCTGGTAAACACTGTAACGAAGTTTGGCTCATTTTTTAGACTTTGGCTTTAGTCTTCGGTGCAGATGTTTGTTTCATCTAATCCTACACAAAAAAGGATACAGTGTATGGAAATGAGAAAATAAAATCGTAGAGAGGAAAGGGTTAGGGAATTTTTTATTTTTAACTGGAACTTGTGACATCTTTTTATTGTCTCTTCCTGTGGAAACTAATTGATTTCAAATTGTGGTTTTAAAGGCCATCCTTTATCAGGTGTTTGAGAGGCTGATTATGGAGATATTGCAAACGTTTGAAGAATGTGGGTCTGAGGTGTAAGACATGTTTTAGATAAATAAGAAAGTTAATACAATAAAATTGTTACAGAAATTGATCTAGAACACCCCTTTATTGGTTTTTGCTCCTTTTTTTTTGCAAAAGCTCTAAAGGGTGAAGAAACACTCTGAAAATTTTACCCATCTATGTATTTTGGAATATTACCAGTATGTGTTTGAATGCCCTAATTATTAACTGAAAGGATAAGGACCGCCTTTAATAATTAAATTATAGTGATCCTTTGTGGGTTTTATAATGTATGCATAGAGCACTGCAGCACAATGAGTAAGAGCTTTTGGGCCTCCCTGCTTAGACGATGATGCAAATTTTCCAAGGAACATGATCCTATGAGTTTTCATTATTTCAATCTCAAATTTCATAATTTCAAATAGATATTCTAACAAGACCATTCCAGCTATAATAAGCTAACATCATTCTAGTTTAGGTTTCAACTTTAATGAGCTGGTAATATGGTAATTTGATTGAACTAATAACGGTTTTCTAATTTAAAACTTAATTTCTTATTTCAACAGAAAAAAAAATTCAATGCTAAGATTTTGTTCTTTTTATTTGATCATAGATTCAGCTGCTTTGCCATAGAAAGATGGCTTGCTATTGAGTTTTGCAAATGGATACTAGTACTGAGCAGTCAATGAACCTAAGTCCATGGAAATCAATGAAAAGAATGCCTCTCTATTTTAGTGAGCTTAGCTTCAAGTTTATGGTGGGAAACGTGGACATTAGTCCTGAAAATGAGCGTTAGGAATTACTGAACTCTACTAATGTAGAGAAGTTTGACTCTAACTTTGCTTTCACGTTTTTGGAAGCCCATAAATTTACTAAATAATGCTGAACTGGCAGCACGTACGGTATTCACAGTGCACACTTCTTTATCATGTAAAAAAAGAACAAACCCAGAACAGGTGAATCAAGTTTAGTGAAACCTTGTCTGGATGGCTTGTTCAAGATCTTATTGGATCTAATGAAAAGAATATTTTGTACATCTTGGAAAGTGAACAGCAGACATTAGTTCGGATGACAAGTGATGACAAGAAGAATGCAGGCTGACTGACACAGGGAAATAACCTTGGGGGCTCAAATTAGACATTAGCAATTTGGCAACTAGAATGCGTTCTGCTATGCTAAATGTGAGATTATGTAATAAAGTTCTTAAAAACTTGTCAGTCTGTGCACTCCAATGCATAGCAGCATTTTTAAAGGATGATATTCCATTGCACTATGAATACAATGAAAGTCAGCTGTATGTGAAAAAGCTAACATTCGGTAGCCTCTCAAAACTTTCCTCATTCTTAATATGACAGTTATTGTATATGGCCCTAGCTTTTCTGTATGGATTAAGCATGGATCCAAGTGATTGCTGGACTTAGACTAAAACATCTCATAAAACATTTTTTTAATCTTAGGGTGGATTGAAGAGTTTCTTCATTAATGAACACAGACCCAGTATTCTTGGTGACATAGAAATAGAAGTCCTACACATAAATTTGGTGTAAATCTATTAATTTAACCTGGGCTTTGTATATGATATATGGCGTGCTGGTATGTATTTGATTTTAAAATAAAACAATGTAGTTGCTCTTTACTTTTATTTTAGCATTTCCCTACAGAAAAAACATACCAAGGAAAAATTTCACAATATAACTTTACAGGGGGCAAAGGTGGGGGTGGGGGGTATGTGAGAGGCAAACAGAGAGACACAAACAAAACAGAAGGCAGAATGCTGTTTACAACTGAACAGATTAATGCAAACAGTATTTCTCATCTTTCTCTCCTTTGGATCTTCTGTTTAAAATTCAACCTAAATCTACACTACAACAAAATAAAAACCCATTCTTCAAGTCTGGTTTGTTTCCTCTGGTGAAGGGAGCTCGTCACGGGCTCCCACCTCTGCAAAAAGGGAAAAATAAAAGTAGTAGCACATACGTAAGTATGCATATTAATCTTGGCAATTAAATAATGACATACAATTTCAGTAGTATACACATTCATCTTTTTCTTCTCAACTGTAAGAGGCAAATCCTTGAACTTTTCATATTTTAATGTATAAACCATTGTTGTTCTTTTATGTTAGTAATTTATAATCTGATAATAATTATATCCTGATATAATTTTACCTTTTTAGGTACAGCAATGACAGAATGATAGCATTTCAAAGGTTTAATGTTATCCAGTTATGCCTGCCATCCTACGGCCTGCTCCACATGGGAAGCCTTTAAAGCTTGAGGGAACAACTTTTAAGAGCGAGAGCTGAAGACCACTTTTAGTTATCACCAAAGTACTTCTTAGCAGCTAAATGTTCACTTCATCTTGCAGATCAAAAAGCATTCCTGATTCTGAATGCCATTAGTGGGAGTTTGTCCCCTCCCCTCAAAGGAGCATAACTAATATATCTGATGTAGTAAAGTTTCATTTGAGCAAAATTATTAAAGCATCTCTACCATAATAAAGCTTGTTTTTTCACCTCCTAAATCTACAGTTCTGATTTTGTGGAAGAGTTAGTACTGGGTCTTGCTAATAAATATTGTTAAGGGACAATACAACATTCTGTGTCTTTTGAAACCTGGGAATACAAGAAATATCTCAGGGAAAAGCCATTTTATATGATCTGGAGATTCTGTTATTTATTAAACCAGATAATAATACCATCTTTTCTGAATAAAGACAGCTGTTTGTCATCACTATCCCAAACAGGGAATTGTTACCTTTTTTACTTATTTGTCCCAGGGAATAAGTGATTTGTATTTCTTCCGTTCTGTTATTTTCTTTGCAAGTCTATATCATACTTCTGAATATTTTGTAGACAGTTTCGGAACTATCTGAAGATCAGAATTTTGTTTGAGTCTAGCTTTGTTTGTTTTAAATAAAAACTAAAGACAACTCAGAAGCAGCCAGGTTTCTTCTTCATGTAATGCTATAATAAAGTATATACCATTCTTATAGAATCAGCTGTAAACTAATTTTTACAATTTTTGCCACAATTTTGAGTCTCCACAGTTTTTACTAGCAGCATTTTGAGCTGTTTGCCAACACTGAGCTTACCATTGTTCCAATTTCATGATGTGATTTTATTGCAGAGCACATGTGAAAGGGAACTGTATTTCTTTTGCCACCAGCAAGTCTTTCAGCATTTCAACCAACTGTTTTTGGCGTTAAACTGAAGTCTTATTGAATTGATTTATACTAACCCCCATGTAATCAGTCTGTATTTAGTTTGTTTTCAACTCTTCTAAAAGCTGAGTCCACACGATTTTAGTGGTAGCTGTTATAATTTACTCTGGGCACTGTGAAAATAAAGCGATATTAGAACCCTGCTCTATTGGATATTCATTGACCTGCAGATTGGCAGGACCACATGCACTGTTTAAATCAGGCCTATTCCTAAGCGCACTAAACTGGAATTTACAGTTCCTCGCTGCCTTGAGAGATGCTGCTCTAAGTCTTGCACACTCAAACCTGTACCAGACATGTACTTTCAAGGATAAGAATATCTTTCCAGTAAGTTCCACACCAGAAAGTGAGAAAGATTAAAAAGATATTCACTAACCTTTAAGATGCAAGTAAGTCAAAAATTCAATTATTGTGCGCACAATATTTTCATCAGCCAGTGGTCTTCCAAGATTCCCTATAAAACAAACGGGTTGTTACTTCATGTTAACGTGGTAAAAAGATCTGTTGTGTGTGACATTGTGGCTAGGTTTATGAGTACTCTCAAAACAAAGCTATCTGAAGTTTCTTTTTCCTTAAAATCCTTAACAAAACACCTCCTTTCATGGAAGAGTAAAGCCACATAAAGGTAGGTAACTGCAATTCTCAGAATCGAAATTGCCCAGCTTCATATGGTATTGCTGCATAGGAGCTGCTTTGACACCTTAATGGTCATGATCTTAAAGGCCTTATAAGCTAAGTTGCAGAAAACTTATCCTCTGTTCTCCACTCCCTCCTTTATGTCCACTAGCCTCTGACTGAAGGGAAAGGTAAATCTAGCAAGCAAATTCATCGGCTTTGCAAAATGGAAGCTCTTTGGATAGTCTGACTTTGTTCCAAATAATCCACTCATGATAATGTAGTGAATTGTAGCCCAAAAGCTCAGAAAAGTATGTTTTTATATCTAATGCAACATACTCCTCTGATCTTGTGCAAGTAGACCTTTTGATGCTTTTTAAATGGCCCGGTTTATCAAGCTCCCTGGGAGCTTGTTATTGCACTTTGGGGGGTAGAGAAGTATGCTTTCTGTGTCTACTGAAAAAAGAAAAAGGAGAGGGTAGGAGGAAGTTATCTTGCTTTTTACCAGCAGGATGAATGATTGTTCTATATTGGAGAACAAAGGAGAGGTAATTTCCATGAGATTTTGAGTTCTCTACATACAGATCAGACGGGTACAAGTATCTGGCTGACACTCCATTATTACATCACTGAAAATACTATCCCTTGATAGTACCATAGAGAATGTGTTTAATCTCATAAAAGTCTGAAAGACTGACTTTGCAGCAGGGGGAGTGCTTCCATAATGAAAGAAGATTTTAGGGTTCTAGTGACATACAGGTCAAAAGCCTAGCACAAACAAACAATATCAATGGGGAACTGTGAGGAACACAGAGGTTTCCGGTACACAGAGAATCAGCATTTAAGAATGTATTTAAGGAATTTGCTTCTAAAAGTCTTGAAATCTAGTCTTTGAACTGACACAAAGATGCTCTTATTACATACATTGATAATACTTGTGGTATTTGAAGATTTCCTTAATTTTTATTCCCAGCCTAACCTCTTATGGATCTTTGTTATGATTAATCATTATATTAGTAGGTTACCGACTCAGAATTTTTTACCAATTCATATCTGTTGGATGAATATTTTTCTTTAGTGACTCAAGCATATCATACATTAATATTTCTATATACTCTATTGACCTTAATTCTGCATAGCAGAATAGATACTTGCAGGTTCTAGTAAAGACACAGCTATGCAATTCCTTGCACAAGTTCTTTTACAGTAAGAACATGTTAAGATACTTTTTTAAGCAATCAGCAAAATTTAGTTTAATAAAATTTCTTCTTTTTTCAATTAAAGTAAGAATCCCAAGTTCCTTACCCAAGTTTTATATTAAAATATCCTTTGGATAGGAACTCTATAATAAACTTCAGCTTCTAAGAAAACTTTTGATGGGAGAAGAGCATCTAAAATTATGTTCATAACAGAGGCAGTTATATAAATTTTCAGGTCACACCCAGACAAGTTTGATGGGGTTTACTTGTAATTTTAGAGGTGCAGGAGTACCCAGCAAAAAGAGTTCCATAACTCCTAAAAATCATATTCAAGTAAAGGAGTTGGTAGTATACCCCCAAATGGCAACATGCTGCTACATGAACTGCTCTGTTAGATTACAAATGCCTTCCTTTCACACTGTTTCTGACTGCCAAAGTATTATTTTTACACTAGTGTTTGAAGCAGGTTCTTTTTTTTTCCCATTCCTTTTCTCCTAAAAAGAACACCAAACCACCACCACCAAAACAACAGACAAAACAACTGCCACCAAAACACCACACACACAACCCTACTATGCAGCTATGTACCAGAAATAAACTGACAGTCTATTCAGGGAAAGTAACAGTTAGGAACTAAATTGACAGTCATTCTGAGACTGTAACAACTAGGAAATACATTAATGTTACTCTTCTACTTACAAAGTAATTATGACCATAAAGTTATAATTGAGCACATTACATTTATGAACTTATTTAGCATTAGACACATTTACATTGTGCTGGGTGGATTTAAAATAGCCTGCAAGAGCTCAGGGGCTGGGACTTTGTCTTCCCTCAGTGCAGAGATGAACACACTAGTACTGAAGTAAGCACTGCTTTCTTCAGCTGAGTGAGGAACAGATAACTCTTAACAGTCTAAAGATGAGGTTCATCCCAGTCCACTTTAGAGATCTACAGCAGATTTACTTTCTCCTTAGGAGAAATAACCTGGGGTGTTTTTTTCCAGAACTTTCTAGATCTTATTCTGGAGGAGGTTGTCAAAATAAACCCTAAGAGTGTCAGCTTCTCTTCCTAAGGGAATGTAGGCATATATTGTAGAGGCCCAACTTTGGATGGTGAACCCAGAACCAACAAAAAAACCCTTTTCATTGGCATTTATTACACTGATACATGCAACCTCAAAACATTATGTTGACTTGACTTCGGTTTTGACCAGGTTCTCAATCTCTTGATAAAAATAACCCATCTTGCTTAAGTATAGGAAATATTGCAAGACTTAACATTGACTTTCTGAAGCAATGAGGTCTCTTACAACATGCACCATGCAGCTTTGAAGTCTGGTTTCAGCTCTCAAGTGTGTGTGTGTGGGGGGGACCAAAAAAATAAAGCCCAACACACACAACTTCCCAGTTTCTATAGCTGTTCTTACTGGAAGATTGCTTTGTGGCTCACTTTGGTGGCAAAAAAAATGTCTAGGGTGACATTTGAAATACTTATTTGAACTTATGAAAAAAAAAAAACAACCCTAGGTTTATTCAAAGTAATATGATCTATTATACTTTAAAAGCAACATAAATGTACTTTTCCCTAGGCACCAAGATGTCTTAAAAGATGACAAAGAGCACACTGAATGGCCAAATTTCATTTTTCTCCTTTCAGGCGGTTATTAGGATTTCTGTTAAAGCCTTGTGCCTAGGTAGTCAGTTAACTCAATAAAAGTAAATAAATTACTAAACATGCAAACTAAATGAAAAATACCAGCTTTCAGAATTTCATTACCTGCTTTAATATCCTCCTCAGGCTGTATTTCACGTTTGCCAGTGAAACCATGTTTGTCATTAAAAGACCTGTGGTTATCTACTGCATCTGGTAAATGAAATATCAGAAGAGTTAATTGACTTAACAACAGCCTTTGTTATATTGCTTGCTTTTCATGGATTTCAAAGATCACAGTGGGGACTTTTGATGTACAAAAGGATGAAGCAGCAATTAATGCATCAATAAAGAACAAATTCAGATGAAAGGTTATTTTTTTTAATGATTCATATGATTTACAGACCCTGTCCTGTACTATGCACTTGCTGAAGCCATTACTGAATTCAGAGGAAGTTGTAAAAGAAGTGTAGCTTTGTACATTCATGTGTAATTTGGGAAGTTACTTTTGCTACTCTTTCCTTTAGTTTTAGAAAGTGTTGGCAGTAAATCTGCTTAAAAGAAAACTTCAGATAGATAGTTTATGTGAATAACCTTCAAAAACTATCTTACATGCCCCTGGTGCCTCTTCTCTCCCCCTTGCAGTGGGCATTTCGTTTATCAGTAAAAGCTGATCAATACGACCTGCAACAAAGGATGATTCCTATTATCCAGTCTTAGATAAATGGCATTTTGACAAGTACATTTCCCCACAGTGTGTTTGCCAATTTGGTTAGATCTGCTTCAGGGTAAATATACTTTCAGACATTTACAGACACATTCTATGATTCTAGTATGTTTAAGATGCATTAATCCTTTTTTTAGCTAACTTTAAGGATACTTACTATGACTTTGCATTCTTTTTTTAAGGTATCTGTAGTATTTGTCAATTATAACAGAATGAAAAACACAGAAGCATCGCTAATGAATGTTATTACATTAACAAGAAACAATGGTAGAAGGACAAATACTTGAGACAGCTTAGCACTGCATGTCACTTTTCTTATGGTCTACATTTGTGATTCTCCATCTTTGTAAATCGATGTGTTCCTGTATTTTAAAAACATTTTACAGTAACTATTTTTCACATAGTGAACTGTTAATATTTAGTTGTGAGTTTGTATGTTATTGTTTTAATTTGGTTTGCTTTAATTGGGAGGGTGAGATGGGGGAGTAGTATAGAAAAGCCAGGCAGCAAAGCCATTTTCAAATAGAATTAAAGGTGAAATCTGAAATACTTTGAGAAGTCCCCAAATACCACATTTTGTCATTCTTCCCTTCACATCTAAGGCACTAGAACACTTTGGAAGGGGGATGTTATTTGTTGTATGAAAATGACATTTCAGAAGTACAAAGAGGGACCAGATGTGCTTCTGGATATAAAGCATCACAGCACAGCTCTGCTTTAGAAAAAACAGGAGTTGGATAAGATAATTCTATGATACATGCAATAAACATCTAAACAAGTGTTCTCAGAAATTAGTTTCTTCAGTCTTGCAGGTTTAGATGGAATTACGGTATTGAAAAGTAATCAGCACACTAAAGTAAACTGGTTTACAAGGAAGAAAAAAGCTAAACTTCTGAATTTTGAAATGATGGAAAGCACACAAGTGCTTGACTTACGTGGCCCAAGCAGGTAACCAGCGCTATTCAAAGTCCAGCCCCTTTTTTCTTTTGCCTTAAAGGAAAAAAATGCAGGTATGCTATTGCATGAACTACACAGTGCTTCCTAAAGACAAAGCAAATCCTGAAGACAAAGCAAACAGCACCCAAATTGACATTCTTGTAGCAGAAAATATCTTCTGAAAGCTCCAAATCAAGAAATATTGTAGAAAATAAAAGCCAATAATCTTGAAGCAAACTGAACTCTTGCCCTCTCCTCACCTAAGTCAATGATGCTGCTATTGACACCATGTGGTGTGCAGATTGCACACCATGTAAGTGAAACTGCAAATCACACTTTGGAGGCAGAAATTTTTACTCTACACCCCATGTTTATATTGCTACCTGATAATCACCTTAGCAAACAGCAATGTTTTCTTTTAGTTGTGAGGACTTACACAGCAGTTTCTATAAAAGAAGTCCATACATGCACCATCTTTTCCAAGTCAGATGGGACATTCATTCAATTTTGGTCTATAAACTAGACACTCCTTTTCCCCTTTAGCCATATTACTGGTTTACAAGGGAGCTAGTATTTAAAAATCCCTAAATTCTTAACTAAAAACCTGTTATACTCAAAAGATTTTCAGGTGCTGCATCTTGTCTAACCCCTACATAAAAATACAGTGTATACCACTGCAAGGTTTACTGTTAGTAGACAGCTGAGACATGGATGCTGCCCAATGGATAAAAGGACCTCCAATGGTGAAGTTAGTACTTACTGAGAAAACCAGTCCCATTGTTTCTGACAGGGTGGCACAAAGGATTAAAGACAGAAACAGGAAACTAGTGCACCTCTGCATCTGGAAAGAAACAGTGTTATTATAGTAAGCGGTCCGAGATACCGCTTTGCCTGGATCCCCCGGGGCACCGCGAGCATCCCCGCCGCGGGTGCCGGCTTGGCACCCAAATTCCCACTGGGAAAGAGGCCGAGAGGGGAAGTACCTTGATCTGGAGCACGACGGGCTCTCCCTCGCAGCGGCCGCCGGATGCTGGTCGCAGGGCTGCAGTCCCGCGGATGGTTGCTCACTGCATGTCCGCAGGTGCGGACCTACACTCTCGACCAGGGCTCCCTCTGCGCTTTATGGGCTGCAGCGCGGCCGCGCAGGAGGGGCACCCCCGGAGGGTGGGAGGGGAGCCAAGAGCCGCCCGCCGCCCACCCCCCCTGTCCTCCGCCTCCCCTGGGTCATCTTCCCCTCGCCAGCCCACCGCATTAGGAAGGGCAAACATTATAGCAATTCAATTAGCGGTATTTGGGAGCGCGGCGCAGGCTGCAGGGAGATAACAGCCCGGGCAATTACGGCTGATTACGGCAGCCTTGGGCAGGTTGGTGAGCAGTGAGGGAAGCTCTCATCTGGGCAGCCTGGCCTGCGCTGTCACCTTCTGCAGCTTCAGCAGGGCTTGGGTTGGCATCAGAAGGCATAGAGTGAATACAGGTCACTTCTCAGAGACTTGGGCACGGAAGCAGAGCTGAAGACAAACATCTGCTTGTGATGCTGGCATACAAGATTCCGTGCCTATGCTTTGCATTTGGGAATACCGAGGATGTCGCACACCCCTGCTCTGTTTGTGATTACTGAAGCTCCCTGAAGTTCAGGCCCCTCACAGTCCCTTAAAATCCCTTTGACTCACACTCTGCTCTAGCATCAGAGCAAAAGGAGTTGAATCAAAGTTCTATTGTTGCACTTCCACACTGCTTTGTAGCTCAGATTTTTTTTTTTTTTTCTTTTTTTTTTTTTTTTTTTTTTTTTTTTTTTTTTTTTTTTTTTTTTTTTTTTTTTTTTTTTTCTTTTTTTTTTTTTTTTAATGTTATATGTGAACGGGTAGGGATGGGGCTGTGATTAAACTAGCCCCAGTCTGTTAATTCATAATCAGTGAAGTTTCACCAGTTTGCTTATCTGAGTGGTGGCTGCAGCTGGCACCAGGGTGTGCAAAATAGAATTGCAAGGCAGAGATTTCAATGTTAGTTCCCTTTTTTCTAGGCCAAATTGTATTTTCTTTGCAACCAATGAGTTTATTCACCGCAAGCCTCTCATATTCATCTTTCGGTAAGCAAAACATCAGATGTTGCACAGCATAAGTTATACTTACAGATCCTTTTTCTGAAGCTGCTTCAGATTAACTGCAAACTTTTGCATTAATGTGGAGCCAAGATGGCTATTAAACAGTGCAATACATCTATCATTCACCAGTTTTAAAGCAAACAGTATTTTAATTCAATGTAGCATAATGTTCATAATCTGAGCTAGAAGCAGAAGCTTTGTCTTGTAGTTGTGTCTCCTACTCTCTTTTGGCAGGAGCAGTACAGTTGTAGTAATCTAGCCATGTCACTGGATCTCTAATCTAAAACTGCTCAAATAAAGATTATTTTATACAGTTCTTACATGCTAATATATACAAATCAGAAGCTCAAATTTGCAGGTTTCATTTGATGCTTTTTAGCACTTGCTAAAGCTGTTACATCAGCCATTGCATGATCCTCACCCTTCAGACTAAACAAATCTGGAGAACAGCAACGTAAGTTTTGCAAAGTATTGTTTTCCTTCACCTTACCAAAAATGCATTTCTGGATGAAATTGCCTGGCTTTCAGCTCTTAACTCCCCCAAAGTAATTTATGAAACTTGAAGCTTCCGTGACACAGAACGTTTTAAAACCACAGAAGTTATATCAAGATGTCAAAATTTGCATTCAAGAAATAATACAGAAAAAGTGTTAATTGTGTTATCTTTGAACATAGTTTGTTCTTCACATTCCCACAAAAAGTATTTGAGACACTGTATTTTAACATGCAATTTTCATTCCTATTTTTCATTACAATACTTGCATCATCTTGTTAAATTACAGAGTAAAATGGTCTCTTCATCTCCACTGGAATCAGATGGGAAAGAAAGCCTCTTTGTATACTCAAAGGCTTAATCCTTCACTTGCTCATCATACTTCTTGTCTAAATCTATCTTTAAATTTGTGTCATTTAAATAATTTTATCAGCTATTCCTTCAATTGATGTTCTCATTCCCTCAATTTTCCTTGTCAAGAATGCAATTAGTCTTTTTCTCTTCCATAGGAATTTTATATTTTAATGCTCAGGAAGAATACTTAGAATTGGTTTGAATCCTGCCTTTTCTAGCCTAGCTTGAAAACAGCCATCTCTGTGATTACATGGTTTATTCTCTTATTGAGGTGACTTTTCAATGTGCTAATTCCTCCATTGATTTATTTGTTTGGTTAATTGTAGAGGCCTAATGCAATTTGCAGTAGCTGTTGGGTTATGCCTGGTCCTCACCAGAGGTTCACCATCAGACGAACTCACAACGGAGCTCATCTAAAATTTACTCAAGTCAATAGAACAATAAGCATTGATAACAAACTGTCTGATTTCTCTAAATTGATAGATAAGAGACAGGATTACCATTGGCTGTCTCGCAACACGTATTCTGCTCTAGAATTGTAACCGCATTTCATAATAATTAAATGAAAACAGAGTTAAGCACTGTTTTCAGCAAGAATAAAAAGCTTTGATTTTTTTAAGGAAATAATAATAAGGATTAAACAAGATAGAGTACTGACACATTGGGCTGGGGAAAAAAAATAATTGCATTTTTGACATTGGAGATTTAATTTTGAGAACAAGGATACTATTGCGTGTTTAATGATAATAAATTCCCTTATATACAAATGATGAGGTAGGATGACCTATCTTATTTTTAATTAACAAAAGTCATAAACCATCAACAATGGCTACTTTTTATAATATTCAGGAAAACCATTGAATAAAAGTGGGTTTTGTGGAATATTTTGGAAGGGTCTGGAGTAGCAGTCTGTTCATTACTGAGAGATAATGAATGAAGCAGGAAAAAGTGTGTCTGCTATTTCTTGGTTGAAGTTGTAGAATCATGTTTGGTTTCAGCAGCCCACCAATGAGTATCAAAATCAAATATTAAAACCCACTTCATTCACAGAGTGATGTCCATCTGCATGACAATAATGTGTGAGGATTTTTTTCCTACTTCCTAGCTTCCTAATTCTAGGCTAGGGAGATAAGTTCCAGAAAAAATGGTCTCCCATACACTGGAGTAATTTCAGTGAAACACTGACATTACAGAAGGTAAAGGCTTTATTGGGGGCATGTCATCTAACTAGACTTGAAATTTGAAGATGTGTATCTTTGAATCTACTTCAATATTTACAGGGGACCACTAACATTCGGTGTCACCAGTAACTCATGGTACTGGCTTTTTCTTCATTGGAAACAATCTTATATTTTTGAGATCAGTATTTTAACCCTGAATACAGAGATTTGCCATAACTGAGCATGGAGATCACAAATGCAATGTTTTCAATGGCTGAATCTAATTCTGAGTGGGAAAGGAACAGATTTCTTTCCAGCAGTATGGTCATTGGTAGATTTAAGCATCCAGAATCAATGGGACATTCCAGCTGCCAACAGGGCTGTCGTTTGCTTCACTGATCTGAAGATTTGGCGCTATTTTGTAAGTAAATGAGGACACTGCCACAGTTAATGTAGTATTTCTTGCTGTTCAACAGCATTACCTCACCCTTCAATATTTGTATTTCAGCTCTCATTGTTAACCTGAGCAGCAGAGATAAGTTGCGGATGACACTGCTTGCCATTGTCTGAAGATGACATAGAACTTCAATATGCAGCTATCATTTTGAAAGTAGTTTGCTCTTTCAGTTTCCAGAAATCCCTTAATTACTTTTTCCCTCCCATGTATAAAACTTGTTTTTTCTTTAAGAACAGAGAACATGGTTTGCTTTGTTTAGATAGTAATCGAAGGGTCATTCTCCTCATCCTCCTAAAGCCTTTGCTATTGTTTTCTATTTTCCCACTTTGTAATTTCTGTAGAATGTAAGTAATTTTCATTGCGTGAATCTTTTGCCCATTTTACCATCTGCAGCTCAGTGTTAAAGAAAACTGAATATTATCAATAGCTTCTGAATGAAAGGTTTTCTGTTCTGAATTACACTCATATAAACTAATAATTTCCTCTATTGCATCAATCAGTGTGCACAACATATATCACTGCATACAACATATATCATTTCAGCAATACTGGCTGCCACATGTTAATTAACCTTATATGCTTTAAAAGTTATCTTGGTTCAAGAAGCACATGGATTTTAGACTGTCTATAAAAAAAGAAACAACAGAATGAAAACTTCGGAGGAAAAAGCCTGAAAGTTAATTACTATGTGCATCAATAATAATTGTGAGAAATGAGAAAAACCACTCAGTCTTGATTCCCACTTCATAAATCTTAGAGGAGAACAATGTATCTGTCCTATTTGGTTAAAATCAGCCAACAGGTTCAAATCTATCAGGACAGGTTGCTGGTTAGTACAACCACACAAGCTTCACATCCTGAAGAAGTCAGATTAAACCAGCAGTTCTCTTCATGATGTTTATCTGTGAAAAGCACTGAGAATTTGAAATATCCTATGAAATACCATTTGTATGATTTTCCACTTCTGATACTAGTGGATCAATACAGATTGCACACCCTCCTGCCATTTCTAGTCTGATGCATCCCCAGATCACTGCTATCTGGACAAGGTGGCTCTATGCAGCTTTACTGGAATTCCAGGAGAGCCACTGCACCAGCAATTCTCTTCGTAGGCTGGGGAGGATGGCTTCAGACCCACTGCCTCTCTCAGAAGTAAATACAATATCTCAGCTCTGTAAGAGGCAACAGCACTTGCCTCTCAGCTCCTGCTAAGGTTAGAGCTCAACTCTTTGGGAGGCACAACTCTGAGTTCTGCAACTTCTGGGAACCTCTGGCTCAGAGAGCAGGTTCAGGACTTGTAGATGCAGTGGCTCCTTTCCCAAGTTCTGATTCTGATGCTTGCCTGAAGGAAGTTGGTACTTGGGTTAAACTTCCGTTTAATTCCTAACTTGCCAATGACTTCCTCCACCTTTGACAGTAAATGCAGTGGAAGCTCACACCTACCAAACACAAGCGAGATGTTCCTTCTCCTGCAAGTTCCCAGGAAGACTTACTGCCTACCCACTGATAGGAAATGATGTGAGGAGCAGCTGATGACAGCTACCTGTCTCCTGGTGAGGAATGTCTAAGATGATTACG